CCCCCCCCCCCCCCCCCCCATCCCCTTCATATACAAACACATGTTTACCGAATAGATTTAAAGAAATCATCCTGGACGTTTATATTAGATTTTAGGTTATCACGTTTAGATATCTAAATCACGATCAATAAGGGAGCGATCATAAAGCAAGTGCTACCCCTGAGCGGAGGATATTGGGATGGGGTATGAAATTTTTTTCAGGTATCAAGGTGAGGAAATAAAATGTGTTTGTTTCAATACAAAAATTGTCAAGTGTTAATACAGTTTATTATTACGGCTCCGTTCATGGTCCAAATAATTTTTCATACATCACGGCATCTTTGTCTCATAAAAGATTTGACTATTGCTCAAGTACTCTCCCTTGCAGTTGCTCTTTGTGTTGTGATTTTATTCCTCTTCATGGGCTCGTGGGGATAAGTACACGATGACACAAATATTCAAAGAACGACTGTAAGAGAGACTATTGCACAGCATATTTAATACACAGTGTAATCATTCTTAAACTTGTCGTTTTATGATGGGGTACGTACGAAACATTGAGACCGTTATCTTGATGGGCTACCAAATATTATCCGACAATTTTTTTTTTTTTTTGGGGGGGGGGTATGAAACTTTGTTAACAAAATAAAAAATATCCTCCACCCCAGGGTAGCACTTACTTTATGACGGCTCCCTAAGTCCCCTTTCCTATTATTCCTCCCTCTCCAATAAACATCCCCTCAAACGTGCCATAAATAAATTGGGGCTTAATAGAGGATTTACTTCACGTACGCAGTCATGTAGTGCAACACACATAAATTTTCATTGACAATTATATCATTGACATTGCAATTACGTTTCAGAGGCCTGGTTCATACTTTGGATTCAAAAGTCACACAAATTTGCTCTTAAATTCGTTGAGCAAAGCTCTATTTCACTTTAAACGTAAAAGCAATGCCTTGCTAGACATGCATAGGTTTCATAATACTCTTAAACAGAATCTAATTTAAAGACATAACAAATTTGTTTCGACTGGGCGACAGTATGTCGTATGAAAATGCACAATTCATCTGTCAGTCAGACGGAAAAATGTCGACTATGAAACGTCTTGTACGAATTTAAAAGCAGACACTAGTATGAAACAAACCACAGGTGTGGAAACGGTCTACCGGTGGCTGGGTGTAGGACCTTAAGGATTTTTTAAATAATTTTCGAAACTCTAATAGTGTATTTTTAGTATTTTCTGAAACGAAATTGTAAATGATTGAATTGCGCTTCTTTCGAATTTTTTTTGTATAAGTTATCATTCAGAAACACCACATGCATTTTTATTCAAATTTCAAGTAAAATTTTAGAATAAAAATCCACGTAAGTGTTACATCCCCTAATTCGCGACGTCCTTGCTTATGGCATGAATTATGCTATTAAATTACCAATGCATACACTATTTTACAACTTGAGTCAATACCGCTGATCTCAAAATTATCCTGGATAGAGCACCACATGCATAAATGAAGCCAACGACGGTCATATTGGTGTAACTATAGCAAATCTACAGTGGTGTTGCTGACATGCTAGAAGACGTTCTTAAAGTTTCTGGTGATTGAAAAAAATATTGCCTAGAGACAAATTGGTTATTAGTGGCCTTTGACGGTTCCTTCTGAAATTTGCTAGTGAATAATTGATGACGTCACACGACAATATGGCCGTCTCATTATCACGTGTTTATATTAAAACGATCTAAACAAACTCAATAGAAGATATTTGCTTTGTACTATAACCAATTTAAACACTTAACGATTTGATTCGTAAGGAATGTGACAGATTTAAAAATATTTTCTCATTATAAATATTCCAGTTTCAATATTAATACCCGGAATTCAAAAAGTTGTCAATACCGTTATTAGTATTCAGAAATCAAGTAAAGCAGTGGGTTTGTTAACTACGTGGGATCACCATGGAGTGAGAGCTCTGTATAGGGACAAGTTCCCAACTCCCGGCTTATGCGATTGAAGTTTAAAGTGGCTATCACCCATGATTAGTCAATCATTTCAGAGTCAATATCAGGTAAATACACTAATATTTAGATATCTCTTAACTCGAATGATAAATTCTTGAGTTAAAGGTTTTGCAACTTCAATGATGTAACAGGAGGAATTTCAATGTACTCGTTAGTCTCGTTATAGCTGTAAAACACTGAATCAACTATATTTTCCGCCTCTCAAAAACTTAATTATACACCATAATATCCTCATGGATAAAATTCCGGATAACTTTAAATAAAATCGTTCAAATCAACAAATTTTTTGTCATGTGACCAACATATGATATGCAATCAATACAACATAACAGAACATAATCATTGTGGGTTATAGCCACTTTACGAAAGCCAGTCTAAACAATAAGAATCAATATAAAATATATTTTACTTCTCTGCTACGTGACTCAATTCTTTAGAAGTTGTAATCTTAAGCTCCGAATCTTTCAGGAACCCATTCTCTAACATACAACCTAGTGAATTCACAATTTTTACTTCTTAAAGCATCAACTAAAAGCTTTGTTCTGCATGTTATTTAAATGACACTGAAGTTCAAATAAATAAGTTCTAAAATTATATAATTTGCAATTTTTACCTTTTGCTTGAAGTTTGACTAAGATATCCAAAACCTTGATCTGTTATTTTATTACGACGGAGATCCAATTCAGTAAGTTTACAATTTTTACTTTTTAAAGCTTCACTAAGATATTCAACACCTTGATTTGTTATTTCATTACCATCGAGATACAATTTAATAAGTTTACAATGTTTACTTTTTAAAGCTTCACTAAGATATTCAACACCTTGATCTGTTATTTCATTAGGACCGAGATACAATTTAGTAAGTTTACAATTTTTACTTTTTAAAGCTTCACTAAGATATTCAACACCTTGATCTGTTATTTCATTATCACCGAGATACAATTTAGTGAGTTTACAATTTCTATTTTTTAAAGCTTCACTAAGATATTCAACACCTTGATCTGTTATTTCATTACGACCGAGATACAATTTAGTAAGTTTACAATTTTCACTTTTTAAAGCTTCACGAAGATATTCAACACCTTGATCTGTTATTTCATTACCACCGAGAACCAATTCAGTAAGTTTACAATTTTTACTTTTTAAAGCATCGCCAAGATATTCAACAGCTATATCTGCTAAACGTCCCAGAATCCACTTAAAAGAGGTAATAGTGTTACCTGCAGTGTTCAACAACGACTTGAAATGGTAGATGCAGTTGTCCTGTATTGTGCATTGAAAAAAAGCAAGTTGTTTTAAATTCTTGCTATTACCGAAAAACGTGAACAATGCTGTAGAATCAACTGCTGCAATATTTAGGCCCTGTAAAACCAGCTCTCCATCTCCTTCTGCCAAATATTTTCTGGAAATTGATTTCATGATGTCAATATCTTGCAATTCATACAAACACTTTATGCCAAGTAAAGCAATGTCATCATCTTCAGTTCCCAATAAAAAGGTCCATTCCTCAAGTCTATAAAACAGATTAGAAAAGCGATATTACTGTGGGTATAATTTTAAAACGTTCTATCTTTTTTTTCTATTTATAATTTAATTTTATCACAAGAAACTATATAACGTTAAAAAGAGATATAGTGAATTTAACCATGTATGGAAAGGATTCCTGAAGGAAACGCTTATTAAAGGCTCACCTGTTGAGCGATGTATTTAATTGCTAAAATTAACTGCTGAGCATGCGCACATGGTCGTGTAAAAAATCAAATAAAATCAGTAAATTTTAGCAATTAAATAACATCACTCAACAAGTGACACTGAGCCTTTAACAACTTATTTCGAAAAAATTGGTAACTTAAAATACCATTTATTTTTAACATAAATTAATTTGTATTGTATTGTATTGTATATCTAGTTAAAAATATATTACTTAATTATTGAAATAATATTATAAAATTAATAGAAAGAATAAGGAACGAGAATCGGTGCATGCGTGGAAAACATTGGAGCCGCTCCTGGTCCGATATTTTAGAAAGCCCTGGCGAAAGCAATGAAATTGCGTGTTTCACTGTAGTTATTATATAATAATCGTTCTGAAGACTTGTCCCTTTAGACAGTGGTTGTAGCGTGAGTAAACAATTTGGATGTGTGGTTTACTCACCGAGGCGCGAAGCGCTGAGGTGAATAAACGCATGTCCCCGAAGTGCCTCAAAATAACGTACTTATTTTTCACATTGGCGAGGTTGCATTTTAGGAGACAGAATAGAAAAAAATCGTTATGAAAGACATTTAATAAAATGGGTCCGAAACATGCACTAATCACTTTTGTTTCGGAAAGAAAAATGAAAAAGCATGATGATTAGGGGGAATATTAGAAGGAATATTACAGGAGATTATTAATCTATTGTTTTGCCTTTGAATTTGGTCATTGTTTTCAGCCTCGCACTCCCCTGTTGAAATCAAAAACGTTTATAATATTGTATCTCTTAGGGGGGGGGGGTACCTTCATGCCATAGGTTTTACAAAACCAAATGGAAAATGAGGGAAAACATGCGAAACTGGAACCCTACAGTACATGTATAAACCAACAAACCTATAATTGGCTCTATTGTCTAATATGCATGTTCACTGCTCAGCGAAAAGTCGTAAACATTCTGGTAAAACATGTTTTAAAATGATAAAGTTATATACCTGAAGAATGAACGAAATAAAGTTTAGGAGTGAAGTATGCAGTGGCGTAACGTAGGAAGAGGGTCCCTTAGGCATATTTGGTGTGGGGGCCCCTGTTGACTATTGTCATTGTTTGACTGAGATATTATATTTATATTGAATATTTATAGAATGTTCTGGAAAATTCCGTGTCTATAACATAACAATAACAGTCTCCAACACATGTAACAACTAATAAGAATAACTTTTGTTTTATTTGAGATGGAATAAAAAAATCAGCAACCGTTGTCGATGGAGGCTTTTTTAATTAGCATTACTAATTTTCCTGCATTCTTTACGTTTACTAATTTTCTGGGCGATAGGCCGTGGCTGCATGATGGGGGCCCCGAACTGTCGGGGGCCTTAGTTTTTGAACTAACCCTAACCAATGAGCGTTACGCCACTGGAAGTATGTTGACTTACTAAACTTCCTGAATAACCGTTATACTGTTACAGAGTGAAACACGGTATGCTGTTGCCATGGAAACCATTATTTTTATGCGCATGGGTTGCATATTTACAATCTGTGGGATTTAATTAAACTTCAATTTGATATATTTGTGATAATTATCTCCACAGTTTATTTCTTTTAATTAAGCAACATTTTCACATCAGACCTATTTAGTGTATTTCATTATACTTAATCGTGAACTTCATAACATGTCACAATTTTCAATATGCGGTACTCATTCATGCACACTAACCCATTAAGGCCTCAATGTACCCTTATCAGTCGCACTTTCAGTCGCACTTTATTCTGTTTAACGCCCGATAATTCTACTGATCAAGTTGAAAGTGCCGGGTGTTAACCAGGCTATTTACTCATTAACCAGCCCTGCACTTAGAGCAGGATTGATTTCAGCGAAGTAAGTCAGTATATGGGGTGTGCTTATTATCCTTACTTGCAGTAACCTGCGTAGCAAGCGTTTAATGCGGGCGGAAGAAGAGAGGGCGTCGTTAAATAAACGCCTGCCCAAATGGCTGACTAATGTGCTTTTGACCGAAAAAACTTCGGCTTTGATTCTCATTGGTCAATCTCGTTGACGGAATTACGTAACTCAAATGTCAACAATAATTTTGCCGACGTATAAATTCCCATAAAAATATGGCTGTTAATGCTTTGGAGGAAATTCTTTCTGATATTTCAAGTTTTTTAGGTTTCGAAATTCAGTTGAAATCAGAACAGAGAAAGTCTATTATTAATTTGCTACGTGGTGAAGACGTTATCGCGATTCTTCCTACGCTATTCATGGGATACGGAAAAAGTTTAATCTATATTAATTATACATTTAATATCGCCAAATCAAAGCTTGCTATATGCCAGCACGAATAGGGATCGAATATTTCTTATATTTGACTTGTTATTCGAATATCGAATATTTCTTATAGTCTGTCCTCCTAGACCAGATAGCTATAAGGCTACATCAATTGGCATTGGAGCTATGAAGTTGGACGATGATTTTAAGAATAACACTTCAAAACATGCTCAACTGTTATTTGCTACGGCAGAATACGTTTAACAACCGTAGTTCAGGAGCCTTTTAAAGGATAAAAGCTCAGTGTTGTCTAAAATAGCATAAAATGGCCGTTTTTATACTAGATACGCATTATGCGTCTGGACGCATAATCCGTCTTCTATATTACTCGTCTAGTATAAAGGCGGGACGAATAATCCGACAAACTATCAGCATTTATTGTTCAGACGGTTATGCGTGCTCAGTATAAAGATGGGCACAAGACGCATTGTGCGTCTAGGTGAACTATCATCGGTTGTGCGTCTCTTAAGAAGAAAAATCGAACATAGTTCGTCTAGACGCATAATGCGTCTTGTGCCCGTCTTTATACTGAGGACGCATAACCAGACGAACAACAAATGCTTGCCCAAGTTCGTCCAGACGCATAATGCGTCTCTAGTATAAAAACGGCCAATCTCCCGGCATGTGCAAAAACCTGGACGGTGGACGATAGACGTCCATGGACGATGGACGTCCATGGATGATGGACGTCGGACATCGGAGGGAATGGAATGTGCAGCTCGTTTCAGCAGACGTTAGTTAGCGAGGGTTAGAGCTATAAGAACGTCTGCGAGGGAGACTAATGGCCCGCCCGCCCGCATCAACTGTATGTGAAGCCCCGGATGAGAAACTAATATGCAACAAATAGTGGCCATAGTATACCAAAGGGTGCCAGGAGCTTGCGAGCTATCGTATTTCAAGTGAAGCGAAGTCACACTGCTAAAGCCGTTCGAAAAGGTCGTTGAAAACGCACGTTTTAGGTTTAGAAACATGGAAATAGATGAGGAAATTGATACTGAGCGTTTAGAAAGCTCTTGTTCACCTTTTGAGGACGATTTCGAGTAAACAACTGCGTTTCTCGAGGTGGATGAAGTTCAGATTGAAGTTCAACAAGCGCTTGAAGAGGTATGAAATATAAAATTTAGACGATAATTTTTATACATATATTACTGTAAACATAGATATTTACCTAATGAATATTTTCCCTTACAATACATAGTCTCTAGGTTGAAGGAAAGAAACAGTTTCCTTGCAGAGTTGCAGTTTCTGTGAGAAAGTTTGCAAAGCCAAAGGTGGCCTGACAAGACACCGACGCAGTATGAAACATGTTGCAGAATTTGGTGAGGGATCTTCTACATTTCAAACAGTGATATTAGTAGAAAAAGTTGCCGAATTAATACGTGGTATAGGTCCACACTTGGTTCAGCTGGTTGACGAAAAACTGTATAACAGACTATAACTGTATGCCCTACTTTAGTATTTACTCTGTTTAACGCCAGGCGATTTTACTTGTCAAGGGAAGCATCTTGGATAAAGATAACATTTCTGTGCCACCAAAGGGCTGTTTCACTCTCAGAGCCAAACAAATGTAATTAGAATATTTAATCATAGATTCTTGTTTGAATTTTAGGAAGAATTATCTTTGTCACCTCAGGAGCTTGGACCATTACCATATTTGACTGGCCATGTGATATTAAGATCTTTATACCAGAAAAGCAAGAACTGTTATAGGAGCAATTCTTCCCGGAACAAAGAAATCCAAGCCTCGATGTCATCAATGCGACAGGACACAGAGGCCAATGAATACATTTCATCCTTGTTGAGGGGTGGACTTTGGTCACCACACTCATGGATTGTAAGCATTGCAGAGGTGTCAGAGTTAATATTTAAAAAACACACATCAAATAAAGACAAGGTCACTGTCTACCAGTAGACACAATTGTGAATGAAGTCCTAACTTCTCCTCTTGTGACAAACTTGTGGTGCAACATTATTCAAAACTGTGATGTAGAAACTTCAATGGAATGTCAATCTTTATGTTTAGAGAATGTTCAGTCAAATTATATGTAACTGTAAGATGTTTTCCTTTGCTAAGGATATTGTAAATAGATATAAGCTAAGTCAGGGTACACAGAAAAAGAAAGCTTTATGAAAAGACTTGAAGACAGGCACAGATTTTCTGGGGGTGCGCCCCCCTCCCCAGTAATAATTTGCACTCCCCCAGAGGCATTTGGCACTGCCCCCAAGTTTTTGCACTCCTGCAAATTATATATATTTTGATTTGATAATTTCATATTTTATTATTCTTACTAAATTTGTAAAATTACCAAATTATGGTCTCAGGTGATGAGATCTCACCATGCAGGACTAGAAAACAAACTTTGTTAAACTTTTTCCTTGGCCTTTCCGGGCGTTGCCACCCCCCCCCCCCCCCCCAAAAAATATGACAATCCATCTCTGCTTGAAGATTGCCGGTGAAGAAAAGAAATAGTCAGGTACATAGTACAATAACGTTCTATCAATGATATTATCATATTAAATGTAAATATGATACTGTATTAATGAATTATCCTCATATTTTTATGTGCAATCTTTTCATCAACACATAGTAATAACAACAATATATAAATATATATATACACTTAAATTACTTTCTCTCATTAGCCAAATTTAGTCATGCAGTTTAAATAAGCTAATTGGAGATAATAGGCTAACATATCTCAATGTGCTCTTTTACGTACTGTGTCAGTGTCTGTCATCCGACAATTTTACACATCAAGGGCAGTGCAGATTAAGCATTGCAGCTTAAAGAGTTTTAACTCTTTAAGAGTTAAAACTGAGCAGATTGATTTTTGAGCAGATTGATTTTTGATTGATTTTTGACTGAGCAGATTTTTGAGCAGATGTCAGCAAGGAGTGGGTGAAGTGCGGCATAAGTTCGAGAAATCACCCATCCTCATGTTTTGTCCAAAGATAGTCCACAGTGAACCAATAAACGTGATGGGTTTCTTTAGCCCGGTTTCCTTCTTCTTCTCGCGAAAATTCACGCAAAAACTATTTTGACCGCTAAATGTTGCAAATCAAGATGGCGGACTGCTTTATTTGAAGTGAAAATAACTGTTTGTCGCTCGATCGCCGTACGAATTACGGTCAAAAAGCGCCCAGATATACACTAATGAGGTGTTCACAAGTAATTTAATACAAAAATATTTGCAATGCATGTATTACCGGCTTCCTGGGGAGCCGTCCAAAACAGGTCATATTTCATGAACTAAAAATGTTAATTTAGGACAGTTTTTCTAAGTTGAAATTCGATCTGCGGTATAGGTCAATTCGACTCAATAATTTAGCTATGACAGACGGAAGGGTTATATTTAACTCCTGAACAAAAAATAGTTTGGTACTTTTCATTGCCTTTGAGATACAGCAATGCAAAGTTCATTAAAATCATAACAATGGCGCCAGATAACCTGTGATGATCGATAGCCGTATTAAACCAAGACGTTGCAACAAACATTGCTACTCACCTCAAAATTGACTAAAAACGTCACCAACAAGAAAATATCACGTACAGACACATACACATACACTGTAGCAATAGGGCATATATATCTTAAAAGATTCCATTTTTCCTGGGAAGTAGACATGACCATATTGACCGGTGTCACAGCGGATTTGGACCCCCCAGTAGATTTGGACCCCCCGGTCCAAATCTCCTAGTAGATATGGACCCCCCGGTCCAAATCTCCTAGTAGATATGGACCCCCTTTAGCGGATATGGACCCCCGCTTTTTAAACACTTTTATATACTAAAAACAACCCCAATAACGGTGTTCCTCTTCTGGTCTTTGTTGTAAGAATTGGGGTACTCGTTGTCGCGAAGATAATGAAATACTTCTTCGTACGCAGTCAAATCAGCCATTTTGCGTTAAACAGAGATTATAGTTCTATTCGCATTGAAATCACGAATGACACTAAAACATTTATATAGCTGCAAGGCAACTGATAAGTCATCACTTATTGTTTAAAAATATTCATGGAATCGCGTTGCTCTAATATGCTATTTCTATGGCTTTTGTTAAAAAGCCCATTAGCAAAGACTCACAAACATCACTTATTGTTTAAAAATATTCATGGATGGCGTTGCTCTAATATGCTATTTATATGGTTTTTGTTAAAAATCATTGGTGGATGGTCACAGGCTTCCATTTAGATGAGTTTAGATTCAAAAACATTCATGAAAATCGTGTTTCGTGTCGATCCAAATGCCATTTCTATCGCTTTTGTTAAACAGTGATTCGTTATTGGCAAATACTATACATAGATTTTAGTCACACTGTATTCTATTTTCCTATGATAAAATACTTCAGATTGATCGCTATTATTAATTTGGTTTATATTATTGTGTTCACATTACATATATTTAACTTTTGAAGGGGGTCCAAATCCGCCAACGGGGGTCCGTATTTACTAGTAGATTTGGACCCCCGGGGGTCCATATCTGCTAGGAGATTTGGACCGGGGGGTCCATATCTACTAGTGGATATGGACCGGGGGTCCAAATCTACGGGGGTCCAAATCAACTGGGACACCGGTATCTGTTACTCAAAACTCAGTGGCGTGCTGGGTACTATTTTTCTGGAGGGGCCAGTGGGCTGTCAGCCAATATGCGCCCCTATAATGTTACACTTGATAAACGAGGGCCGAAGGCACGAGCCGAGTGCCGCAGGTGCGAGGTTTGTCTAGGGGGGTCCGGAGGCATGCCCCGCAGGAACATTTTTGAATTTAGAGTCTCTGAAATGCCATTTCCTGGACTTTGGGGGAAGATTTGACAGAAATCTGATGGTCAGGAAACGGCATTATAACGTGTCGAAATTTGCAATATGGTTAGAATTTGGTAGTGGTACTTAAATTATGCAATGCTAACTACTTCCAGCGATTAATCGAATCCCAATTCTGTGCTCTACTGATCTACTGTTCTGAGCACATTTACAACTTAAAGCTCTTTTATACAATAACACGGGCACCCCACGCACATGCATTCTAAGGTTTCTTTGCCTGGCTGCCAAAAGGGCATGTTTCAGCATTATTTCATTACTTACCTTACCCATGCTTCTTGTGCAAACAACTAAATTGCGTACACAACTTTACATCAATTATCATAACTTCAACTATCTAATTTGCGCGCTCTCGTGATTCGTGAAGCATAATAAAGGGCATAATATAAGGGCATAATACCAGCAAAAAAGGGCATAATTCTCGTGATCGCTTCGATCGAAACCTGACCAATATTCCGGTAATGAGACATTGCCTGTGATCACTGATCATGTTTCTATATGAACGATTTCGTGTGAGCTGTGAGGTAGCAAATACGGTTAGGCAAAATAGTCTGTAATTTAATATATGTCGCCAATGCGCTTAGTCTGTTTTATACTGTAGCCTATAAACACGTCTTTTCTTGGCGGAAGTGACCATATTTTTTCGAGAATGGGTTTTTTCCCACCCACTTTTAAAATTCGGCGCCCCTTTTTCATTTTTGCGCCCCCAATATTCCAACAGACGTCTATCTTGACTAAATGTTTATTCAGATTTGAACAATCTTGGAAATATCTGCATAATATTAAAACATTTTGCCATTCATTGGAATCATTGCCGCGTAGGATTTTCGCCCTCCAATGTTTACCTTATTCTGCGCCGTCATGTTAAGACTGACACATGTCAGTGGAAATTTTTGCATAATACTGATTACGTCACTTACAACTAGACTCACTTTTGCGGAAAATATCACCTGCAAAAGAGTTTGAGATTGCTTAGTCTAGGAACGGCTTTTTGACAAATCATCAGAATTCTGTTTGATTTAAAATTTACTAAAATCAATGCGATAAAATTTCGGCATACTTCGAAACCCGGACCGGACTCGGACTCGGACCCGGACTCGGACTCGAAGAAAATCCGGACTCGAGAAAAACCCGGACCCGGACTCGAAGAAAATCCGGACTCGTGTTTAACAAAACCCGGACTTGACTGCTGAAAACCCGGACTCGAAATAGACAAAACCGGATTCAAAACAAGGACTCTGTGCACGAGAATGCAAAGGTTTATCGCTAATAACTCGCGGATAAATGGATTTGTGCTCTTGCGCGGGTGCCCTTTCTCTTCTCGCTTTTGTATATAATAAAATACTTTATTTCAAAAGCAATAAGCTTTTGTTTCGAAAGATATAGATATTTTTTTCTTCTACTAGTGACTCAGTGTTATGCGTTATCTGAGGATACTAATCAGTTATCATACTATATGGTTCCTCACAAAACAATCACTATATAGCCTACCTAAACAAATCATTTAGCCTTATACATACTTGCTTACTTACTTAATTTAAAAATTTATTTACCACGCTGACCATACCCAACATATTTGTAAAATACATACTCCTGCGAGTAGCTAAATCTACATAGTCATTATATTAACTATGATCTACCCAAGACATAAATTAATAACTAAAATCTGACTCAGCATAGCAGACTCAACGTGATCGATGGCGGCAAGGGTAAAATATATCCTCAACATATTCGACCTCACTATCGGCAAAATGACACGAAAAATAACTAGACTTCAACCAATCAAAAGTATAACTTCAACCAATCGAAAAGAACGCCGGAAAAGTACATCTCATGTTGAAGGCAATGAAGGTATCGCCGCAACCGCGCCTAAATACCGACTGTGAAGTAATTCGAGCGTTGTTGTGCGGATGGACATAAATTTGATATTATAACATGCTCTCAAATAGTTGGACAAGACGCTACTGGAAACACGTTTATTTTCTCTATTTCGTTAATATAAAGTCCATAAACACGAATTGAACACCTGCAATTATTCTTTATCCGAAAGTAGTAGAAAACACATCACAATGAAAGCAACAGCTGCAAGCCTGCACCCGCGGCCGACAGTGAAATTCGCGTTGGATGGTTGGCGTAAATTTGATATTGAGACTCTCTCGTTAGGCAATGCGTTCATCAATTGCCCCATATGCCGTGCATACAACCGCGGCTCGATACTGACAATGAAGTTTGACAATAAATCAAGTTATTATTGAGAATCAACAATCAACATGCTACCCTCGTACTAGCTACTAATTGTAGATCGTTGTGCATCAATACATTTTAGTTTTTAATAACTTATAAGTGCCTAAATGATTTGGTTCCAGTATATCTAAGTGATTATTTTGTTAACAGCAGAAGATTAAAAATATCGAGATAAAGATATAAAGAGATCATCGTTTATCATGTTACTAATTATTAAACCTTTCCAAAAAACCTTTGCATTTTCGTACACAGAGTCCTTGATTTGAATCCGGTTTTGCCTTATTTCGAGTCCGGGTTTTCAAAAGTCAAGTCCGGGTTTTGTTAAACACGAGTCCGGATTTTCTTCGAGTCCGGGTCCGGGTTTTTCTCGAGTCCGGATTTTCTTCGAGTCCGAGTCCGGGTCCGAGTCCGAGTCCGGTCCGGGTTTCGAAGTATGCCTAAAATTTCAAACAAAATCGCGGAAAATTGATATACTGTCAACGCGTGCCGCGAGCACTTAATCGGCGTCGCATAAGATTCCGTTGTTATCAGCTTGGCCTTGACACTTGCTCGTGAGAGTTAAAGTCTATTGGCATTTGGCAAACCAAAGAGAGAGAGAGAGAGCGAAACTGAAAACTTTAGGCGATGAATTGTTCGTTCCAGCGACTTGTTGGTGGCTCCTGTGGTCCTGACAAACGGAGCAGAGACCCAGTTGAAGATTCAACCACTGTTCCACTCACATCATGCACTAAAGACATTACAGGTCATATTAGAGGGATGGGAATCAACGATGTTGATTCTGAAGTCAATTTAATTCTGGCGAGTGCATCGATTTTCACTTGTCCGCCTGATCTAAAGAAAATGACAATCTGCCCGTCACATCGATCTTCGTTGGGTATCGGATGTCGTAGAGGTTCCCAACGCTGCCGAGTTCCAGGAGATCTGGCTAGTCCTAAGCAGCCTGGAAGATCAACTCGTAAGGCAGATCGTGGGATCAATAAATCATTGTCGAAAACAATATTGCGTCGGACAGGAATATTCATCCCTGCTGGTTCAGGTATGTTGTAAACGTAATATAATCACCAGCAAGTTAGAGTTATAAACCGAGAAGGAGGTTAATAACTAATATATTGCCCCCGAGGACGCGCAGCGTCCGAGGGCAAAATATCAGTTATAAACCGACTTTCGAGGTTTATAACTAACTTATATCACAGTTGTGGAGGTTTTCTAACATATTTTGTCATTTTCAAAAATTTTCGATGAAAAATTCTCGCGTTTTGTCGAAAAGTTTGATCTAATTATTTATTCAAGGTAGATTAGCTATAGTTATAAACCTCGGACGATCAAAGAAAACCGACACAAATGTGATATAAACATAGATACGCACTCTGTCTATCCAGTTAATCAAACCAGCACAGGCTTCCCTGCAGTGACGATGGGAACTTTACGCACTTTCACGCCAAAATAATATAAAATTTTGGTGCAATGAAATTGTAGGGCTAAGTAATCCCTCTGTTCAGGACTAGTTCTGCGACTCATTAACCAAAAGTCTTAAAATTTAAGATTACATAAACGTTTCTCTCTTGTCAGGAATATGCTGTAGTTGCAGACTTACTATAATGGCTGAATCATCTCCCATTGCTGGAACCCCATCAACGAAGTATGAAGAGACTGAAGGCATAGCAACCATCACCATGGCAATTGGAAATATTTCATTGGTCAGTAAATACACAACAACATGGGCAATGTCCTGTAATGCCTTTATCACAAAGTCATATCTAGCCTGCACTTTTTATATTTTTCTAGAGGTTTATAATGCAGCAAGTGTGCACGAGATCATAAAACTAGCGAGTATGTTAGCGAGATCGTTCGCGTCTTAGCGATGACATACAAGGTGCAATCATACGCGTTTTAGCGATGACATACAAGGTACATACTCGTTATGCCTTTTATTATGCCGCGCACACCCCCATCCTCGCCCGCAGACCTTGCGGCCTCGCGCGACTGCTCATTCTGGAAGTGCACATTTTCTGCACTACAGGGTTTGCCAAAAAAGTAGACAAATTGTAATGTCTAGAAAACTATAAATTTAGCCGTTAATTCAAATTGGATTTTATTTTAAACCCCTCATTCATGTTTGCACAAGCCGTTCAAAATGAGGCTTGCACACACCGCTCTCTCTTTTTTCGAGGTTAAATTTTTTGTTTGTTTTCAGTGTTAGATTGACCTGAAAATGCCAAAGTACTTATACTAACACAAATCTATGAGATAATTTGATAAATTTATAGTTTTTTACACATTTCAAAATTGTCTCCTTTACATTGCGCATGCCTCCAAATGAACAAGTTCTAGATCTAGGGGTACTAAATGAAGTATTCAAAAAATATTACAGAGTTACTGACTTGTTTTGTGCTAAATTGCTCACTAAAATGAAAAGTTGTACATTTCACTGATTAGCACGGTTATAATAATAGCCAATCAGATATTTTTTGGCCATCAATTCCATAGCCTTATTTTCCACGAGGAACCGAGTGAGAAAAAAGCTCTGCGGACAAGAATGCACACACCCAGCATAATTTTAGATCTCAACCTCGTTCCCCGGCTCTTTCGTAATACGCCCTGGGAACATGTTGTATAAAATTCTAAAATAAAGCGCCTTCTACATTTTCAAACCACCAGTTAGTCATGTCTTTGCACAAATAAAGAACTAAAATAAATTGATAACACGGGCACATTGGGTTCTTGTACGTATGTGCAGCAAACTTGTTTTTAAACACCAGTTTAATATCGAGTATAACTTGATTCGCAGGATGAAACAAATTCTACCCTTCAACCACACACCAGTAGCCCAGCAACCCCCTCTAGAAGCCTTTATTTACCACCAAACAGTGAGTCCTCCAGTGAAAGCAGTTCTGGTGATATGATCACGCAAGAGCAGAAGGACGGCAAAACCCATAGTGCGCTTAACCAATATTTGCATTCCCGCGACGTCAGCCCGATCCGTTCAAGAATGAGCGTGCCGTGGAATGATGCGAACGAAAGAACAAAGCGCTATTACATTCGTAAAACTGGGCAGGCTGTAAGGGCAGTGGTTAGTGATATTGCACCAAATGATGCACTGCAATTGTTCGAGGCAGTGTGCTCATCCAGTAAAATGGCGGGGAATTATCCAACTTACGAAGATTTGTCTGGTTGCCATGGTCTCGATGAAACGTTAATGATGGCCCTTGCGGAATGCTACAATGCTGCTGATTGCTGGGAGACACGACGACAAATTCTATCGATATTATGGCGGATAAAATGCCACTCAAACGGTTACAGCACTGGATACCGAACATCACCAAATACATGTTTACTGAAGCCAAACGTCATTGTTTGATCCAGGGTAGAGGGGCGCCAGTACAGAATACTACCACATCTAGACTACGAGTGTCTACCTCACAAATTGACCATTTTATCGACTTTATTACAAGTTTGCATATCGCTCAGGACTTGCCTTTTGGAGAAAAGATAATCACATTGTCGACCAAGGAGACCATACAAGTACCCAACGTTATAAGAACGATGGTTCCAGCTCGAATAGCGACACAGTATATCAATTACGGTGAAGAATTGGGATTTAAACCCTTGAGTCGCAGCAGTTTGCTTCGAATTTTGAACGTTTGTGCAGCTTCCACCCGTAAATCTCTTCAAGGGCTTGATTACATTAGCTCTGCCGGTGCTGAAGCATTCGATGACCTTTGTGGTGTTGCCGAGACGCTTGGAGACGTAGGCCAGGGGATGGGATGGGCCAAAGAAAAGCCGAAGCGACTACGAGAAGGCAAGCGTTACCTTAAAAGCGATTATAAGGTCCACGTGTCTCCATGTTCTACTGTGGCTGATCACTGTAGACCATTTGCTTTAAGTGATCCAAAGAAAAAAGCCTTCCAGGTCACCTGCGATCATGAACATTCCCGCACTTGTCACCGCTGCAATATGCTTACATCTACAATCGAAGACATCGAAGCTGCCCTGGTGGAACAGAGAGCTAATCTTCTACCTGACACAGTTAAAGACGAGCTCCAGTTTAGAGTTAAGCAAGCAAAAAGCGCGATCTTGGCTTGGAAATCCCACCTTCTTCGATCAGTTAACCAGGACGCTGCACGGACTGACGTTTTGGAAAAACTAGACGAGTCTTCAGTGCTATTGGTGCAAGACTGGGCAATGAAGTATTTGCCTAGAAAATACAGGGAGAGTAAAAAAGATTGGTTTGGCAAACGTGGAATTCCTTGGCATATAACAGTAGCAACGAGAAAAGGTGTCACTGGGGACGTGGAGATGCTAACATTGGTCCACATATTACCAAGTTGCAGTCAAGATAACTGCGCAGTTCTTGCAGTTATGGCAGATGTTATCAAGCAGCTCAAGTCAATCATGCCTGGCCTGAAGTCAGTCTTCTACCGTCAAGACAACGCTGGCTGCTATCACTGTGGTCCAATCATAGCTAGCGCCAGAGTATTGGGCTTGCAACATGGCGTCACCGTCAAAGGATTGGATTTTTCTGATCCGCAGGGAGGAAAGGGTCCATGTGAAGGTCCCGAAGAAGGATGCAATCAAACTTTCTTGCGGCATTCCTCTTTGCAAAGGCATTTAGATTGTGAAAAACATAGCAGAGTTTTGGAACGTGAAACTCAGTTAGATAAAGCGGTTCTGAGCTATGCGGAGGCTTTAGAGGGCCAGGCGGTTTGGATACCAGAGATAGGGGCAACGGAAGGAAAAGAAATGACTCCTGTAGTCGACTGTGCAGCTGACTTAGCAATGGGTTGGGCACTGATGTCTTCATCAAAGAAAGCTCGGTTTTCAAAGAAACAAAAGGACTATCTGATAGGAAAATTCCAAATTGGTGAAAAAACTGGTCAGAAAGCAGATCCTTCTTCCGTTGCTCGTGCAATGCTGACAGTATGAAATGTAAATGGAGAAAGAATGTTTACCAGCGAAGAATTTTTGACAAGTTCTCAGGTAACGAGCTTCTTCTCTCGCCTAGCAGCGAAAAAAAGGCTGTCTGAGGAGGGCAATGATGAAGATGATGAAGACTTTGACGATTTGGAAAACGCAGCAATGGAAGCCCACATTGAACTGCTCACCAACGAAGTTGCCCGCGAATTGGTGCCACAGCACCCAATCATGTATGAGACATACAATTTGTGTGATATCATATCAAGGTCACAGTTAAAGAAATTTAACATATCCGTCCTCAAAGAGATCTGTGATTCTTTGATAATCGACGCCACAGATGTGTCTGCCAAACGCAAACAGCCTTACATTGAAAAAATCGAGGAGTTCTGCACTGGCTGCACATGTCGCGGGTAATTTTTGCGCTACACTGCACGTCTTTTGAGAGACAATTTGTGTTAGCGCTACATATATGCAAACATATTGCTCGCTGTAACATAATAACATTTTCTTATTAACAGCCCGTCCACCGGACACTATAATAGTGCAAAGCTACTCTGCTGAAGATCTCTTCTTGACGAGTAAAATCGTTCCACCGGGCACAGAAAGATGGGGGCGTCGTGCCCGTGGTGGGTTAAAGATTTGTCGAACATTTCGCAATCGGAACTCGGAAAATCGAAAATCTTGCTAAAATTTGAGGTTTGGTAGGAAAGTTTCAGGCATTTTCTTAAAGTTTTCTCAGAGGGTTTACACAGAATATCAGTGGGAAAATTAGCAGTTAGCCTCCCCCCCCCCCTCCCCTCCGCCTGTGAACAGTGGCTACCACGCCCCTGCTGAAGGCGAAAGGCCTAGACAATTTTACTCGTCAAGGCCAAGGGAACAAAACCAAGCGTAGAAACCTATAAATTATTTTAATTCGATTAAAAGCGGAAACTGACCTTGTAAAGCTATGTTTGTGGAGGTATATATCGACATTGTACAATAATATATAGGTCTAAGTTGTTGAAAACAGAAGGTTTAATTTTTGATAAAAGTTGTTTTTATGCCTAGAAAGTGATATTTAAAGTTTATTAATGTAATAGTAATAATCAGGATATAGAAGCATCTTCTACATCTTTTATTGTCATCTAAACAACATTAATTAATAAATTTCCACTGACCTGTGTCAGTCTTAACATGACGGCGCAGAATAAGGTAAACATTGGAGGGCGAAAACCCTACGCGGCAATGATTCCAACGAATGGCTAAATGTTTGAATATTATGCGGATATTTCCAAGATTGTTCAAATCTGAATAAACATTTAGTCAAGATAGACGTCTGTTGGAATAGGAGTCGGCTATTTTGCGAGCTGCGAGTTGCGAGTTACGAGCTGCGAGTTGCGAGTTGCGAGCTGCGAGTTGCGAGTTGCGAGTTGCGAGTTGCGAGTCGCTAGCCTCGCTTTGAATTAGGCTTTGAAAGTATATTAATATGGACGACATGGAAGGCAAAGTCGAAGGGTTTTTTGTTTCATAAATATAATGACCTTCGAAGTTCAGGTCCCTGTAACTAAGACTTCGACACAAAAGAAAATGCTACGATACGGACGAGATAAAAATCGGCCTTTACTTGCTTTTTTACTTTGTTAGATCCATCGATACGTATGTTCAAGAATTAAAATAATTATATTGAAAATAAAAGTGCAAGTTTATATTTGCCGTTTCTGTGTTTAATAAAATCTAGTAGTTATCCAGACCATTTTGTGCTTTCTAATCTTAAAATGGTTATTTAATTTTATTAGTAAGTATGACCAGACATCGACTCAGTTTGTTTATATATACTGAACGCTGGGAACCCTATAAAACTCAAGTCCTTTTCATCGGAAGTACAATTTATTTTATACAATTTATACATAGACATACATATACATACATAAACTTTATCTAAACACGGGAAAAAACCATCAGTATATCAAAACGATTGCTATTTACAAGTTTGTAAGTATAAAAATAAATGCAATGAATGTTTATTTCAAAAGCTGAAAATTGGCGCCAAATTGAGAAAAGCTAAAATCACATCCGCCAGGATGCCATACAATTTTCAATTTGAATTTTTAGTGTAAACCACAGGTGTAAACACCTTGTTCGGTGCTTCAAAGCTAGGTTAGTGTTAACCCTGGGTTAAAATTAAACCCGATGTTATTAGAAATTAACAATATACTCGTAACTCGCAACTCGCAACTCGCAGCTCGCAACTCGCAACTCGCACTATAGATAATCTCGTTGGAATATTGTCTATATAATAATGGCGATTGCCGTTCAAACCGATGTGATGGCACAGATGCCGGTCAATATGGTCATGTCTACTTCCCAGGAAAAATGGAATCTTTTAAGATATATATGCCCTATTGCTACAGTGTATGTGTATGTGTCTGTACGTGATATTTTCTTATTGGTGACGTTTTTAGTCAATTTTGAGGTGAGTAGCAATGTTTGTTGCAACGTCTTGGTTTAATACGCCTATCGATCATCACAGGTTATCGGGCGCCATTGTTATGATTTTAATGAATTTTGCAATGCTGTCAGTATCTCAAAGGCAATGAAAACTACCAATAGAATAGAACCCTTCTGTCTGTCATAGCTAAAATATTGAGTCGAATTGACCTATACCGCAGATCGAATTTCAACTTAGAAAAACTGTCTTAAATTAACATTTTTAGTTCATGAAATATGACCTGTTTTGGACGGCTCCCCAGGAGGCCGGTAATAAATGCACTGCAAATATTTTTGTATTAAATTACTTGTAAACACTTCATTAGTGTATATCTGGGCGCTTTTTGACCGTAATTCGTACGGCGATCGAGCGACAAACAGTTATTTTCACTTCAAATAAAGCAGTCCGCCATCTTGATTTGCAACATTTAGCGGTCAAAATAGTTTTTGCGTGAATTTTCGCGAGAAGAAGAAGGAACCCGGGCTAAAGAAACCCATCACGTTTATTGGTTCACTGTGGACTATCTTTGGACAAAAAATGAGGATGGGTGATTTCTCGAACTTGTGCCACAATTTTTGAATTTTACCCAGTCTTTACAGAAATTCTCTCTTAAAATCATATGGCATCAGACAAATGTTAAAAGGATAAAGTAGGAGCATTGTGGCTTAATTAAACATACATTGTGTAATGTATGATTTGAGCATAATACAAATTACATCGAGAATTACAGTGCATTTCTAGAATTATGACTGTGGAATTAATAACACTGTCTATTGCAGCAATTTTTGCTCCACCTACTTTTGATAGATGACAATGAACTTCTAAGTTATGAATTTTCAGAAAATAGATAGATACATACACAGTAAGAACACTCATGTCATTCTTAAGTTAACTAATTGGTATACATTCCTATTTATCAGAAGAAAATTACCCATAAAATCAGCCAATCTCGCACCACACAACGATGGGCTCTGGGGACAGCATAACATAAACAAAGTGTGAAAAGCCTGAGACTTACACTATAAAATCTTATTATTAAACTATAAAGTCTTAAGAATAATGTCTAAATAAGTACATTTCATATTCCTCTTTCTTGAAGTGCTTCTCGCAAACATACAACGTCCCATTTTCTGATTTGCCTTCGCAAATTATCATCCACTACGCGGTCCTTTGTAATTATGTTGCTCCACGCTTCACGAGTTTTCGTTGATAATAAGTCTTTTCCTGAAGGAATCCGAAAAATTCCAACTCCAGCACTATTTCGACATGTATCACAGCCGTTATGGAGCAATTCGCTCCCGGCATCGTGGAAAAATCAATGAAATTTAATGTTTTTAGGCTCTGTTTGGCTTAAACTATTATACTATCGTATATGTCAACACCTCAAAGCATGCACTATAAGTACCACGTGACCGAAAACAATAAGTTATTTTGTCACGTGACCCGGCCTTCCAAACCCTCTCATTATATTAACTATGATGTAACAAAGTAAACTTTTTCTGGAGTACTTTTACTTGGAACGAAGTTGTTTTAAGAAGTAACGTTTTACTTCGTTATTTTCATTTTGTGGCGAAGTATTTCGTTACTTTTTAACTTTTGTTTAATTTTACGTGATTTATTCCTGATGCGTCTGGGATCTCTCGTTTGTGGCTTACTTATACGCATTATTTAATATTTATTTAATGGATTTCTTATATTTTCATTTGGGTCTAAAAAGTAGACCATGCTGTGAAATATTGTATATTAGGTGCATGCATATGATGGTATTCTGTTTGGTGTCTTTTGTATGTAAATTTATTGGAGAAGTCTCTTACACGCTACAGACAATAGTAATTTTACTTTTACTTTTCACTTCAAGTATTTTTTATGGATACTTTGTACTTTTTACTTCAGTACCTTTTGCCTCCAGTGCTTTTTACTCTTACTCAAGTCGTTTTATTGTTAATTACTTCTACTTTTACTCAAGTACAAATTCAAAGTAATTTGGGCGCCACTGTTTGAAAGTCAAGCGAAATTGTTTGTTGACAAATCGCTCAAAATTATTAAACTATAATTAAAAATGCAGTACGTTTGATATAACTTTGGTATCGTTGGTTTTCTCTTTTCGGCCGTATACCAGTATATTCATCTCACTTTTCTCTTCATTTTGATTGTATTTCATGTGCTAAAACCTGGACGATGGACGTCCATCGTCCATCGTCCAGTCCATCGTCGTCCAGGTTTTAGCACATGCTCAATCTCCCTAGTTGCCGAGCAAAAAACATGCATGATGCTAAAAATAAATTTCGACTATGATTGGATAATGGATGAACCGGTGAAAATCCTAATTACAAAATGTCAATCACCCTTAACAGACGAAAACACATTAGTTAGCCATTTGGGAAGGCGTTCCCTCGATGACGCCTTGCACTCTCCCGCCCGCACTAAACGCCTGCTACGCAGGCTATACTTGCAGCTGAGAGCTAAGCTAAATTGCGAAGAACACAGCTCAACATGATCGAGTGCAAGGCTTTCTAAGGGCGCATATAACAGCCACCTCGCGGTTTTTAGCTTTGCATCAGACTAGAACAAGTCGGCGAAGACTAAAAATCTGACTCGGTTTTCGTTCAGATTTCAGTGAACTAATATATACTGTTTACTATACAGAAAATATAATACCTTTTCTGAATATCACCAAGGACCTTTTGGTTCTTATATTCTCTTGGTTCTTCTCTAATTTTATCTCCAACTAAACCAGCTACAAATTGTATCACCAAATGCCACTTGGGATCTTTAACATGATCATCCAAAAATTGCACAACTTTGTCCATATCATCAACTACCTTTGATGCCGCAAGAAACTCCTGCAGTGTTAAATGTAGAAAGCAAAACAAGTTCCGTTCTTTGTGTGGTAATTGATAAAAGAAGCCACTATTGGCCAGGGTTCGAAATTCATCAGCCGTGGGTTTCTCAAAAATTAGCTTGTCTTGGCTAATTCCATTTTCTGCAATTTTCTTCAGCTTCATCAATTCATTCTCCAGTTCTTTGGGAAAAGGGCTTTTGAGGTAATCAGGCGGCCTTGGTTTTAATTTGTATTCTGGATGGTGTCGATATAGTAAGACTTTTACTGCTCTTTTGTAGAGTTGAGTTATAGTTCCTAGAATATTGCTGTTCAAACCCTCGTAAAATTGTAACTCATCTTCCACATCATTATCAACGCTTTCCTTTAATGTTAAACAAATAATATAACTATTGACAGGTATATAACACAAGCTGCGCATTTCGGGTGATCCTTGAATTTCATTCCAAATCAGTTTAGCGGTAGCACTTTTCTCACAAAATTTGAAAACATATTCTTTAATTTGCTCTTCGAAAAACCCCAAGATTTCCACTGTTCTGTCAAATTTGAGCTTTTGAAAAACACGCTGTGCCGTTGGTCGTGACGTGGTCAATACTGTGACACCAGGTAGCAATTTACCACACAACAATTTTTTAAAAATTATAAACACTGGCATCTTTTCACCTAGGTCATTAATTGCCTTTGTCCTTGCACCCAAAAGCTCGTCGTCAACATTAAGCTCATCTAATCCATCAAAAATTAACACGGTTTTGGTTGGGTTTGACAATGTCGTTTCATACACAGCGTTAAAGCCGTGTGGTGACAATCCTTCACCGTAGGCCAACATTTCTCGAAGAGTAACGTTGTTTTCTTTGCAGAATGCACGAAATTGAAGCACGATTACAATTTTTTCATGCCAGAACTCGTCTTCTTGTCTTTTCCATTGATGTAAAAGCTTCCTTGTTAGCATGGTCTTACCAATTCCTGGTCGTCCTATAACAAGGATAGCTCGCGGATACGCCTGCTTCTCCCCGTCTTTTGTTGGTTTAAATATATCAGCTGTGCTCGTAAGCTTAGTAACTGTCCTTGGGGTTCTGAGATGGCATTGGTAAATTTCATGCCTTTTAAATTCCCTCGGGTAAGCGTTCAGGAGTTCTCTCTCTTCTTGAATGACGACATTGACATATATATCTTCAAGAGGTCGCATGGAAATTTCAGGACCGCCAAAATCATCCTTTAATTGAAAGACCTCTTCATCGTCAGGATTGAATCTCTCTCGAACTTTGTTCACCAATTTTCTAATTCTTTTTCGCTTTCTCAACAAGTACACCGTACAGAATTCTTGGTCAGTCATAAAATCCCTGTCATTTAAGGTCAACCACGCGAGGTAGCCAAGTTCCAAAAAGGTCACTGTCACCAAAAAAACATCCACTGTTGCAACGATATAAACCAAAGTTTTACTTTTTCCGCCGATGGGATTTGTACAGTCAATAATCGTTAAATTATTTCGTGAATTGAGGGTAACATTAAAATTGGATGTTCCTTTTCCTTGCATATCAAGAGGCCAAGGACAGGAGAAATCCTTGGGAAACTGAGCTGGGTAAAGTATCCACAGAGCAAATACCAACAATGGAATTATACGAGCGACAAGCAAATAAACGACATAAATGGAAAATGTTGAAAAACGACCCAAACATTCACGAATATCACGCGGGTTCTGGCCGTGATTTGGCGAAGGCAGCATCTCTTGATTTTCATCGCCATCATTATTGGAAGTTGTCATTCTGGTCGGATAATCAAATTTCTCAACACGATGTTTCACCAAGTATGCATAGATAATACTCAAAGCAAAGACAATGCCAAAGTTTAAGATGAACATAGCATACATAGGTAGGATAAAGAGGAATTTCTCTTGATACTCGAGGGAACATTTTATGTTGATGTCCTTTATTAGAGATGCCTCCTTCGTCTTTGAAATGGTCTTGTCATAACAATGAAATGATGTGTCGAAGGCTAAAAAACCCGAGATGCTTATAACTACGACAGCAAACAACCCGAATAACTTAAGAAGAACAACGTCGTAAACATTGAAGCTCTTTCGAGGTAAATATTCGACACAATTTTGCATCTTGAAAACCTATAAGATAAATAAGACGTGCAGTCGAGTGCGACATTTTTTTTCATTCACATCGATGTAATAGGTGTTCCTAGTTCTTGCATGGCTGGCTTTAATCGCAAGTCCGCAAGTAACATATAGTTTTGTTATAGGATGCAAAAATATATGTCAATGAAAATGCGTGACAAAGAATGAATTAGCTTCCGGTTTGTTTCGTATGCATGTGTCGCGAATATATAAAATTTTAAATACATGCCAGATTGTTGAGTTGTACCTCGAAATAACACGAACTCATCTCCTATACGCATGCACCGAGTTACATGAATTTCTACCAGTCAGCTCCATTCCCTTTTTAGAACTGCTGATCATCAAGAAAAGAGCTGAGAAAGTTTATAGTTACTAAACAACACCACAAGTATATTGCAGCTCATTTATTGTAGTTATAATCAACACAATTCTTGAAAGACTACCAGATTTTTAATACTACTTTTGAGTTAATTAACTCTGATTAAAATTTGCGACAAAGTGAAAGAACACCCAGGAGACTTGTGAAATTTATGATATATTCAAATATATGATCTATAACGTTTGACTTCGACATAATGAACACCTAAATGGTCCGTTGTTTGCGGTTTTTGTTGCATGCCATATATGGCATGCAACTTTCATATAGCTCTAAATTTCGTGTCGTGGTCGGTGCATGAGCGGTGATCGTACCGGTCACGTGGCGGATTCGTAAAATCCGACAAATACCGAGCTTTTCCGACGAACATTTACGAACGTTTATAAGCATAATTATCTCTGCATAATTATAAATTTTGAATCATGTGAACAACTGATCATGTGACGTGATGTGAATTGTGATGCACATTTTCGTCGATTCTTGGCCGAAAATTTTAGATAATCGAGTGCTTTAGAAGGTAGGTAAAGCTTTGCTGTTTTTAATTTACGTTATCTGATATCTGTTGTGATTTTGGAGCCTTTGTGCTCGCACTGATTATTTATCAGGCGTTATTATATAGTGTGAAAGGCCACGCTATCAAAATACACAATTTTATACTCAAACTGAAACGGAGCCATTGTGCTCGCACTGATTATTTATCAGGGCGCTATTAGCGTGAAAGGCCACGCTCTGAAATACACTCAAATTGAAACGGAGCCATTGTGCTCGCACTGATTATTTATCAGGGCGTTATTAGCGTGAAAGGCCACGCTCCCAAAATACTCACATTGAACCGGAGCCGTTGTGCTCGCACTGATTATTTATCAGGCGTTTATATTTGCGTGAAAGGCCACGCACTCAAATTAAACCTTGCCATTGTGCAAGTAAAAATTGAACCTTGCCATTGTGCAGGTATAAAAAAGCAACCCATTGCCATTGTGCTGGGATTATTGAGACTTTGCCATTGTGCAATTTTAAAAGAATTACTAATACAAACTGTCAAGGACAAATACTGCCACAATATTGACAATTACTGTAACGAAACTATTTTATTCCAAACAGTGAGAATATAGAAATATGGGTGTGTCAATTGAGACATACAGACTACGAATTGGTTCACATAACAACTTTGTGCAAGCACGACAGTCCATGAATCAAATGAAAGGTAAATTTTGGAACCATATGTTAGTAATGTTCTACTTAGAAATATTTTATTTACCATGCTTGAAAAATCTAGTTACAAAGATTGAAAGTAATAATGAAGTTTGCATGTGGTATACACAAATGGTATCTTATCATGTTTACGTACCATTGCTATTGAGGCTTGCAAATGATGTGGAGGAAAAACCCGGCCCAATTAACATTTATGATATTGTTGATCATAGTTTTACGGTTCGAGCAGACTTCAACCAAGGTAATATATCCATGTTTGGCATAAATGCTGGAAAACAATGTGTTGCCATGTCAATTTATGCTATTGTATACAATGAAATAAAATCTGTTTATATTTGGGATACTCCACTTATGAACATGCTTCTAGTTAATGCAAACAATCTTTATGCCATAATTAGTCAGCACATTCAGAAAGATTTCTTGTTGCTCACTGATGTTCCTGAAATATTGTCTATCAACAATGATACTTTTAATTTGGAGTGCAGTGACTCTTTTTCTGGAGCATTATGGATGGAAAATAACAATGAACCGTATGTTACACTTGAACATGCCTTTCATGAAGTATTTGATGCGGGCAATTATAAAGCACGCTTACTTACTATTCAAGCAAACACTGTTGCAGTTTTAATTCCTTTCCCAGATGTATTTAAAGTTTTTGATTCTCATTCACGAGATATGCATGGAATGCCAGCGGCAATGGGTTATAGTGTTTTAGTTTCTATTGAAGGAATACAAAACCTTACAAGATTTTTTCATAACAGTTGTAACTATCCTGGACAAAATAGTGAATATAGTCTATTTGAATTGAAGGGTGTTAACTGTCGTAGAAACATTTCACTGTCAAATAGTTTGGATAACAGCAAATGACGACACAACGTCAAATAACCATGAACAACAAACAAAACAACAAGAGTCAGTTATAAACAGAGAAAGCAGACTTGCAAAGCGAAGAGAGAAGCAAAGAGAGAAAAGACAACAAGCAAAACAAAAAGAGTCTATTACAGAGAAAGAGAATAGACTTGCAAAGCAAAGAGAGGAAAGAAAACAAGAAACTGTTTCACAGAGGGAAAATAGACTCGCAAAGCAAGGAGAGAAAAGAAAACAGGCAAAACAACAAGAAACTGTTTCACAGAGGGAAAATAGACTCGCAAAGCAAGGAGAGAA